TTTTTTGTGACGAAGTTTCATTCTGTCACCGAGGCTGGAGTGCAGTGGCACAATTATGGCTAACTTGAAACCTCTGCCTCCCAGGTTCAAGCTATTCTTCCGTCTCAGCCTCCCAAGTAGCTGGGATTACAGACACGTGCCACCATGCCTGGCTAATTTTGTATTTTTAGTAGACATGGGGTTTCACCATGTTGCCCATGCTGGTCTTGAACTCCTGACCTCAAGTGATCCACCTGCCTTGGTGTCCCACAGTGCTGGGATTACTGGCATGAGCCACTGCACCCGGCCTCATTCTTCTGTTGATGGACACTTGGGCCGCTTCAAGCATTTGGTTATTGTGAATAATTTTGCTATGAACATGGGTGTACAAATATCTCTTTGAGATTCTGCTTTCGGTCTTTTGAGCATATACCCAGAAGAGGAATTGCTGGATCATATGTTACCTCTTTGTTTAACTTTTTGAGTGACATTCTATTTTTAAGTACTTTTGAATCTGTTGAATTGATTGTAGTGATGCAACTCCTAAATGATATGTTTGCTCATAGTGGTATTCCCCTCCTCAGCTTTATTGAGGTAGAATTGACAAATTATATGTATTTGCGTTATACAGTGTGGTGTTTTGCTATGCATATACATTGTGAAATACTTAAATCAAGCTAATGAACATTATCACTTCTCATTTTTTTTTTTTTTGTGGTGAGATCATTTAAAATCTACTGTTAGCCATTTTCAAGTATACAGTGTATTATTACTAACCCTAGTCACCATGCTGTATGAGACTCCCCAGAACTTACTCATTTTGTCTAAATGAAACTTCGTAAGCTTGACCAACATCTCCTCATTCCCACCTCACCGTAGTGGTCTTTTAAGTTCCGTAACTCATACGATGTGAATCAGGACCGTGAGGTCAGCTTAAATTTCAGGACTTTAGGGACACCTTGCCAAGGTAGCACACTCTCTAGCCCGTGGTTCTCAGAAATGCATTCGCTGTAAGTTTAGGGATAACTGAGGGTGAGAATTTGATCAGCTGGCCTCCCGATGTGTTGGCTAAGCAAGAGCTTTATCAATACATATATATTTTCTGCTTTCGACCTTTTATAGGGATTGAGGAGACTGAAGAAAGTTGAAGACAGGCTGATGGGCTCAGCTGGTAGGCTCCACTATCTCACCATGACAGCTGAAAATTCCACTGCTGGAGACCTGGCTCCAGCCCCCCTCATCACTTGCAAACTCTGTCTGTGTGAGCAGTCTCTGGACAAGATGACCACACTCCAGGAATGCCATTGCATCTTTTGCACAGCTGTAAGTTTTCTTTGATGCGTTCACTCTGAGAAAATACATTGGGAAAAATTATAAAAGTAGGATATATTTCTGCAGTTTATTGAGAAGCCAGACTTTGCTGCAATATGATCCTGCTTTGGAAAGCATTTCATATTTGAATCTATTTCCAAATAGTATCTTAAATGGTTAATCATGGGTTTACCTGTTCTAGGTAAGTATAATGTATGTTTGAAATTTGTTTATTGGCTGAATAGTCTTTCTGTTAAGGTTCAAGGTATGGAACTTACTTTCAATTCTGTAGTTAACTGTAGCTATGGAACAGAAGAGAAAAATTTATTTTTTATTCTGTAGTTAAGTACCACCTATAAGAAACTTACTAGGTATTTTGAATGATGGAGAAGTCAGGTAGCAATTTACTTTATCTACTGAGTTTTCATTCGTGTACTTGTTCATCTTCCACGAAGCATACGGTAGAAATTATACTATGTCATGACTCCTTTTATTCTGTTTTCACAATATGCGGAATGCTTTTTATTCCACTTAATGGGAGCCCTGTAGATGTCCAGAAGTGGGCTTACCCCTTTTAGTGTGACACCTGCTATCAATACCTGTGGCCTTTACTGCCACTTTTACTTGAAGGTTGTTGGTTGGTTAAGGTATAAAGAGAGAAAATAGAGTTCCTGTAGGGTTCTATGACAGAGAACAGCATTGTTTGTTCATTTTTTTTTTTTTTTTTGAGACGGAGTTTCGCTCTTGTTACCCAGGCTGGAGTGCAATGGCGCGATCTCGGCTCACCGCAACCTCCACCTCCCGGGTTCAGGCAATTCTCCTGCCTCAGCCTCCTGAGTAGCTGGGATTACAGGCACGCGCCACCATGCCCAGCTAATGTTTTGTAGTTTTAGTAGAGACGGGGTTTCACCATGTTGACCAGGATGGTCTCGATCTGTTGACCTCGTGATCCACCCGCCTCGGCCTCCCAAAGTGCTGGGATTACAGGCTTGAGCCACCGTGCCCGGCCTTTGTTTGTTCATTTAACCAACAGATATCTATTAAGCAGGAACTATGTCCCAGGAATGGTTCTAGGCACCAGGATTTATCAGTTAAGGAAACAAAACCCAGCTATGTTTCTTGCTTTTAGGAGCTTATAGTCTATCCAAGAAAGTTATGTAGGAGTTCAGGGCTGAAAGGATGTTGCTGTTTTAAATAGGGTGGTCAGAAGTCGGCCTTGCTGAGGAGTAATGTTTGTACTGTTTCTCCTTCCTCTTGTTTGTTTACAGGAAGTAGAGAAATGGCCTTGTCATCTCAGAGCAACTTCAGTTTCCTTTGGTCTTGCTTTGTTTCTGAAGGCTGTCCTTCAAAACAATTATTTCTCTGGCTTTCTCAACCTTGCTGCAGACCTTTGTTAATCCTTGAAACAAATGAGTCAGAAGCAACATTTGGTGAAAACTGGGATGCAGATATTTTGCTGAGGGTTACTGCTGTTTAAAAGAATTCAGTTTTTGCTATGACATTTAATAGTGCAAAATTCACGTTTGTGCGTCAACACTGGGCAGATAACACGAGTGAATGTTGTATTTCATCTTTGCAGGGAAGTAACACTGTCTTGTTATTGTTTCAGTAGATTTTTGTTCCTGATTAAAAACAGCATGGCTGCTTCTCATTTCTCTTTCAGCAATTTCAGGGTAGGAGTTAGGACAGTTAGCTTATTTCATCATCTAGATTCACGCTTCCTCACTGTTAGGGAGTGCTCAAAAGCAGGAAGTCAAATAGCTTAATATTTTTGGTATCCCTCAATTTTGGACCTTTTTGTACCACGAAACATTAACTTTCCCTGGTGTCCTCTTACGCTATTACCTATGAGCTGCCAAAATAGTAAGCGATGTAGTATTACATTAGTGTCTGTAAGATTGCACTATGAATCAGACGCAACTGAAATACTGCTCTAACTTTTTTTTGGTTAGAGATTTATTTCTTCTTTTTTGAAGAATGACTTAAAGATGTGTCTAATACTTCCCAGACGTTAATTTGCATCTGTATTACAGATGTCAAATGTTTTGTGTTTTCGAGACTGAAAAGAAATTTGTAACTTTTTCATATGCTACATACTACTGACTTCTACTTTTAAATAGGATTGGACGACGTCTCCCAATTGCTTGTGCCTACCATGTCTTTAAAACTGTTTTACTGAGAACCAACCCCCTGCCTCAGAGAGTGTTCACATGTAGTGATCTTCCTGCTGTATTTGATGTTATGCTGGTATATACTGGCATACATAATGTATATGTTTTTTTCTTTTCATGTCAGCCAGGTAATGTGCTTATGGCGTAACAAGGTTTGAAGGAGGCATATCTCACGTGACTGTGAGAAGCCAATCATCATGCTTATGGACTACAAAAGTATCTATACTGGTGTATTTCCTTGGATTTATTAAAGATTTAACAATACTCTATCATTGTCCTGTCCTAAGAGGCATCCCTGGCCAATTTGCTGTGAACCTAGCTTTTTTTTGTTTGTTTGTTTCCAAGATCACCACACTCCAATTCCAGCCCTACCCCAAATCAGCTGTGGAATTGGGCAGATGATTAACCTCTCTGGGCCTCTGGTTTCTCTGTGTAAAACAAAGGTGCTAGGATCCGTCACAGTGCTCCAAATGCGGGGTGCAGTGTACTCTGGGCATGCAGAAGGGACAGATGTGGCGTATCTGACTTGACCATTGCGTATGAATCCGTTCTTTTCTTGTCTTTAGGGAGACCTAGTCTTTAAATAGATGCCCCCACCCCAAGTATGTTCCTTGGACCACCAGCTCTGGGAAACAGAGCTATCCTTGAATGAAATGTTACATAGTCAAATTAGCTTGCAAACTGCAACGTTCTTCTATTCCTTTCTAGGAGGGATGTAAGGCAGATTTGCACTTTAGAGGCCCTGTGAAATCTTGTGGTTAAAGGGAAGCAGGGGGTTCCTGTTTAGCTTCTCCTGATGAAGGCTTTCCATTTGACCATGCCACCTTTTTGAGTGGAACATCTATTAACTTGCCCACAACCGGTGCTCTGAAGAACACTGCTTTAAATTGTTTCATGTTGGTAATTTTTGATTTAAGTGACATCCAGGGAAAGGAATGTGATGGATGTTGCTTCAAATAAGCCGTCAGTATTATCTAGGTTCTTGTTAAAGGATGTTCTGGCTGTGAAAATGGTCTCTGTTAGACTATTTGCTCAACTTTAATATGTAGAATAAAATGTAATATAAAGCAAGAAAAGCTTTATACAGGAAAAAATGGGCATAGCTCTCACTGGCATGACTGATGTCATAGAACATGAGGTGTATTATAGAACCAAAGAGGTTGATATCTTGGGGTTATAGAGAGGGAGATGTAGCATAATTACTTCTTCGAATTTGAAGGTGAAATATCTCAGGGGTGTTGGTCTATTAATGATATGCAAAGAACGTTTGTCTCTCCCTCCCTCTCTTTTGCCTGTATATTTAAATAACCCGAATATGAAAATTCTAACTTTCCTCTTCTGGGTTTGCAACACATTCCTTTAGATAATACCACACAATGTTAATTCAAGTGAAATAAATTCACCAGTCAGTTATCCAAGTAATGGAAATTTGTGGAGTTGCTCCCTTATGTACAATGTTTGCTTCTGATTTATTTTAGAAGTGATTCTGTCAGCCATGAATTAAGGAATAGTGAAAACATAGTTGTTGCTTGTTTTTATAACCTAGATAATTTCACCTGAAAAGAGTCGGTATGTTGGGCATGGCCTATTTACCTTTCAGATTAAATGCAGGATGTGCTAAGCAAAAAGAAAATAAAGTCCAGCCATGTTCTTGCCTTTTTCCCATTACGTTCTATTGGCTCTGGGTAGTTAGAACACCTTTTACTATTCATTTCTTGGAGCCAAATGGATTTTCCAATGTTTAAAAAGTGAGAGGAAATATAAAACATTTTAGACCAAGCCCTTCTTTCCCTTGGGGCCTGTTGGCGACCTTTAAGAAAAGCCCACAGTTGGTTTGGGAGACTGTGTTAGTCCATTTTGTGTTGCTATAACAAAATACAGAAGCTAGGTAATTTATGAAAAAAAAAAGAGGTTTATTGAGCGCACAGTTTTGCAGGTAGGAAGTTAGAGAAGCATGGTGCTGGCATCTCCTTGGCTTCTGGTGAGGATCTCGTGCTAGGTCAAAACACAGCAGAGAAAGTCGAAGGGACAGTGGACCTGTGCAAAGAGACAAAACCTAAGGGGCATCCTGGCTTTATAACAACTCACTCTGGCAGGAACTATTAATAATTCGTCCCCACAAGAACTAATTCACTCTCACCAGAGCCAGAAGTCAGCCACTACCCAGAGAGTGATGCCAAGCCATTCCCCGACTAGGACTACCTCCCAACACTACCACACTGGGGATCAAATTTCAGTGTGAATTTTGGTCGGGACAGACAAACCATATCCAAACCACAGCACAGATATTTACAGTTTGGGAGGATTTGCAACGTGTATGTGCACACACAGTTTGGTAACTTTCAAATGAAGCATGAATCTGTAGTGGATCTTTCCTGGGTTCTAACTGTTATCTGCATTAGGAGAAAGGAATGCGACTTTCCTACGCCTGCCTCTGTTCCTCCCTTGCAGTATAGCATGGTGTGTTAGAATGCAGATATGGAGATGAGAGGACCCAGGCTCAAGTTCCGGCTTTGTCATTGATGATGTATGGATTTGGGGCAAGTTGCTTGGCTTTTTTAAACCTTAGTTTATTTGTAGGATGGAGGAAGGGAGGAGTTGATAATACCAACCTTTCTTTCCCAGGATCCATCAGTGTGCTGAGCTGTTATGTTCTTCAAAAAGATTTCAGAGAAAGCAAAGCCTGTAATGATTTGACTGGCTTCCTCACTAGTCTTTTATAAAAAGGTGGCTATGTAGGTAATTGCAACCTCACCACTGTTCTGAGATATCTAGAGATTAGCAATTAGGATAGAGGGAAATGCCTCTTTTGGGTTTGTTCAAAGTGTGACTTTGAATGCT